ATCACATCCAAGCCCTGGACCCTTTGCTCACTTCTTGTCAAAATAAAGAAACCAACTCTCCTGCTGTGCACAGAAATGTGTGCTTCGGCCTCTCGACTGTTGAGAGCATCCTTCTAGATCCAATCTGTGACCATAAATTATTTTTCTTACATTAACATCCTGCCTTGATTTAGGGCTGACCTGGCCAGATCTCAGCCCGCTCCAATCCAGCAGGGGTGTGGCACCGTCTGACTCTCCAGCCCTCTTCTCAGTGAAGCATCTTCCCGCAGATGTTTTGTGCCTGATCCTCCCAGCAGCACCGGTTTCAGGGGCAGGAAATGCAGATGACTGCTTTGGGGGGTACTGGGGACCCCAGGTCAAGGACATTTGACCTGGTCTGCATGCAGAACATCTTCAGTCCATCCATGAGTGCTCCTGGTAAGCTCGGGAAAGATTCCTCCCCTAATGCTAGACAGTGGCTACTGCCACTCGATAGATGGCCACCAGTATTGGGCTAGATGGACCCAACAGTCCCCTCGGGATAAGGCAGCTTCCAATTTTCCTATTTACTCAACGACCCATTCAGTAGCAGGAACCATAAAGGCAACCCATGCATGCAAGGGAGGAGGCAACCCGGGTCTTTCACATCCATGTATGGGGAAGACTTGTGCCCACTCCAGAGATGCCCTGAGCATGTTGTGGTTGTCATGACAGATCCGTGCACACAAATATCTTTCCTATCTTATAAGCAGGGGAAGGACTTCAGTATCCTGTGTCAGTGGGGTCCCTTATCCATGGCAGCTTTTCTCTTGATATTTATAGGGGCTGCTCCAGGATGGTGAACTGAGACTCTGGAGACCTGGGTGATGTTCCCCACTTGGCCACGCAGTTCATTGGGCCAGTCGGTCTAACCTACTTAACAGGCTGTTGCTGTGAGGATAAAATGAAGAGGAGGAGGAGGAGAACCGTGTAGGCTGCCTTGGGTTCCTTGCAAGAGGTAGATAGATGCAATAATGCATCGCAATGGAAGGGCTGCTCCTGGATCCAGCCACCTGTCACTGGGAGCCCAGCAAGCTGCCCGATACGATTTTTGCCTCTGGATTTCCACCTCCTTCGGCCCACTTCAATCTAGGACTCAGGAGCAGTACCTGAACCTACCACTAGATGTCACTAATTTCTTGTGTAATATCATAACATCAAGCACATGGAAACAGACCTTTGGCGCTTTATCAATTTCCCTCCAGAGAAGAAAAGGTTCGGTTGTCACTTTAAAAGCTGGAAGAAATCCAGCAACATGTTCCAATGCCTTCTGCTATATAGAAGTTTGGGCACTGCCCATCTTCATGTTGAATTCAGGATGGTTCACACATGTGTAGATCCAGTGAACCCATCCTCACTTGTGCTTAAGTTGATTAACTGGATCAATTAATTACCAGCAGAAGGTTGTTCCAGCAGGAACAACGTGTGATTCTCCTTGTTAGGATCTGCAATGAGAAGCAGCTCAACCCCAAAACAGGCTCGCTTCATTAGCTAGATGAATAGTATATGTGGGTGAGTGCTTTCTACTTCTGCAAGCACCTGCTTATGCGTATTATGCCATCGTATGATGCAATTAGAAGGGGAAGGACCTGAGTGGCACAGCCTTCCCAGTGGTGGTCCCAGGATTGTGGAACACCCTCCCTCTTCGACATACACAGGCAGCACCTTCCCTTTTTGCCTGGAGGCATTTGATGGAGGGTCTTTCATGTTAGCATGGACAGATCAGCGGAATTTGCTTCTCTGAGCTCCTCTGACCTGCTCCAATCCAGAAATGAGCATTTTGGTTCATTTCCCATTCTGCTGTGAAGTTCTAAGTCCCTGTTTTTATTCTATTTCTTTATTCTATTTATACCCCACCTTTTTTCTTCCAAGAAGCTCAAGGTGGCTTACATATTTCTCCTCCTCCAGGCCGTTTAATCCTCACAACAGCCCTATGAGGTCCGTTGTGTGGAGAGTCTGTGACTGACCCAGAGTCATCCACTTGGCTTCAGGGCTGAGTGGGGACCAGAACCCAGAGGGATTACAACCTCCATCACCTGATACCCAGTCCCACACGATTAACCAGAACACCCCAGTGGCTTTCTCCTGACACTTGACACACACACGCCCCCAGCACATGGTGGATGTGTGTCAGGGAGCCATGGAGAGCACACATCCAGCCCTAATAAGGTCATGGAGCCGTGCAAAAAGAACATTCATTCTAAATTGCTCTGGGACTGAAGATCGGTCACTCTACAACAAGGTAAAGGTAAACTTTTCCCCTTGACATTAAGTCCAATCATGCCTGACTCTAGGGGTCGGTGCTCATCTCTGTTTCCTAGCCAAGGGAGCCAGCGTTTGTCCGCAGACAGTCTCCGTGCTCATGTGGCCGGCCTGACTAAACTCCGAAGTGCACGGAACGCTGTTACCTGCCCACCAAAGTGGAACCTTTTCATCTACTTGCATTTGCATGCTTTCGAACTGCAAGGTTGGCAGGAGCTGGGATATACATATATTTATATTTAAATACTTTTGAAAAATAACCTTATTTTCATTCTGTTGATCCATTTGATTTGTACCCCATTTTTCCACAAAATAAAATGGCACTCAAGGCAGTTATTTTCTCCAGCTTGCTGATATAACTGCTCTTTCAGAAAGTCAAGAAGCGTCAGAGGTGATCAGGTCAACACCCACTGCTACGGATGTGCAAGCTTTTCGGCATCACAGGAGTTTTCCTCGGGGCAAAAAGTGGATATTGTTCCAGTAAAGCTTTCTTTAAAACCTTGGCACGCCTTGCTCTATCTACTTGGCAACTTGAATACAAAGGCAGATTTTCAAGCTAATTTCAGGAAGGATGCCTCTTTTCTTTTGAATAAAGTTTCGGAAATAGGAGGAGCAGTCGGGAAATTGGCTAAAGGCTAACATAAATATGCCAAACTTTCTCTTAGCAGGCATTGGCTGAACATGGTCACTTCTTCCCTTCGAAGCAGAATGGCACAAGCTGTTGGGCGGAGGCATATGGTTCAACTCTTACCTATAAAAGTGTCGATGAGGCCAGATGCTTCGGTGGCCAGAAATCCAAAGCTAGGCTCAGCTCGGACGATTTCCCCAAAGAGCTATGTCTACGTGATGATCCTATGGGTACCTGATGGGGCATTTACTCCAGCCATTTAACATGGCCGATATGTCTATTAAAATGACATTGCTCTGTTTAAGCTTTGCTGGCTGGGCAATGCTGGGTGTTTTATCATTCTGTCTGAACATGCCTTAGATGGTGCCTCACATAGCTTTGTTTGTGTTATGTGCCATCATGGGATCCCCAACTTATGGTGACCCTAAGAAGGAAGTCCTCCAAATGTCCTGTCCAGGACAGCGCTGTTCTTCTCTTCCACGTTCAAGCACGGCCTTCTTTTATGGATCCAGTCTATCTCATAGTTCCTCTCTTCTTTCAACTTCAACTTCCCCTAATATGATCATCTTCTCCATGCAGTCTTGCCTTCTCATGATGCATCCACAGTACGACAGCCTTGGTTTTGTCATTTTTGCTTTCATGACCCCCTTGTTTGTCTTTCTGTTGGTCCAGGGTACTTACAAAGCTCTCCTTCAGCACCATGTTTTGAAGGCACCTATTTTCTTCTTGTCACCGCCCATAAGTGGAAATACAATAGTTTGGATGATCTTGACTTTGGGCTCCAGTACATTGTTTTATCATTTGTCTACTGAAACTTGTATGGACGATTGTAGCATTCGTCTTTGCCGTTTGCTGCTTTACGGATTGCCTTCACTGTTCAGAGAGCCTTGGCTATTGGGTATGTTGAAATGTAATCCATCAATCAATGCACAAGCCTGTTCTGGAAGGACCACTTAAGAAAGCTGCCACTTTATGGCAGGGTGCAGAAAAAAGCAATTACTTTGGATACATAGCAGCTCAGAAGAAGGGGGAAACCAATCTGGAGGGGGACCCTTGTTACAGGTGGGGGGCCCATTCCAGCAGAGGGTTAAGGATCCCTAACTCACAAGTAGACCCCACGCCAGATCAGGTCCTTCAGACTTGTGTCTGAAGAAGAAATAAGCACTGCTGGGGCTGCCTGCAAGGAATGAAGGGTAATTTCACTTTTGGCCCTAAGTTCACGGCACATTCCAGCCATGAATCCTAGAGGTGGTCCTTGGCCAGGGTCCAGTCCTTTGGCCCCAGCCGCCACAACCCCCAATATGGGGAGGTATTTTGATTTTTTTTAAGCAGCTGCCTCGTGGCCCCCCACTGGAGACACTTGAAGCAAGGGCTGGGTAGGTGAGCTTGGATCCTTTCCATTTCTCTCCTTCTCCCATAATACTGAAACCGAGGTCAGCCCATCAAACTAAAATTTAGGACTGATAAAAAAGTGCGTCTTCACACAATGTATAGCTAAACTATGGACTTTGTTGGCAACTGGATGGCTTTAAAAGGGGATTGCACAGATTCATGTGGGAGGAGGCTATCTGTAGCTACTAGTCCTGCTGGCCCTGTGCTACTTCCTTTACCAGAGGTGGCCTGCTTGCATATCCCAGCTGCTGAGGAGCTTGGGCAGGTGGAGGTCTTGCACCCATCCTGCTTGGGAGATCCTCTGGGGAGCTCTTTTGCCACCATGGCTATGGAGCGCTGGACTGGATGGGCCATTGGTCAGATCCAGCAAGGCTTATTAAGGTTGTGTGTGCTATGAACAAGGGGGATCTGAGCTGCAGAACAGAAAACCATGTTTTGAACCCAAAGAAAGTTTGGTGCTGGACCTCTGAGGAGCCACATTGCAAGATCCCAGCCACCCAGTTGGAAATCTCTTTTGGAGTCCTAATACAATATAAAAGAGGAGGGATTAGAAGTCTGGTGGATACCACACTGAAGACGCCAGCCTTTCTGGGCCATGTTAAGGTTGTCTGTGGTGACGTATGGCAGGGTGTTAACCACTCGAAGCTCCTCAATTCTCACCATTTATTATGATGGTGGGAAAGAACCCATGACCACATGACACATTTTAATAAAACAAAAATTTATTTTGATACAAAAATTAAATAGTAATGTTTTGTTTTGGGTTTTGTTTTTTTGGTTTTTTTTACAATGATAAATTAGAATTTTACAATAGACGTAGATACTCTTCTGTACAATCACCAACAAAGGAAAAATATAATCAGATCAGTGTCCTTTTACCTTACAAAGGTTTGGGGATCTGCAATATTGTCCTTAACATAAGTAACATAGAATATGTACCTACGTGTGGAAGGGCGTTAAAAAAAAAAAAACCTGCAATGTAGAAACAATTATTATTCTGGTTGTGAGGATAATTGAGAAGTGCCAGGAATTACTGTGGAACTGAAGACGGGTTTATAAAAGTGGGGAAAATAGCAAGACAAGAAAAGGGCCTACAATTCTATATTTGCATAGGTTTTATAATTGCAATCCTATGCAAAGAGAGAACTGTAGGTCCTTTTTGCCTAAACTGGCACAGGATTGTATTTGAAGTCATTTTGACTTCGCTGTGGATGGAAGATCAGCCCTATTTTGAAAAATACTAAGTCATAAATGCAAGTTAATCCCACAAAATCTTGCCTAGCTGTCCCGTGTATGTGCAGATGAATTAGGTTGAGTTCTAGGGTGGAAATATTTGCTTATTTATTTTCTATACTGTGTGTACCCCTCTTCTCAGGATTCTGAGCACCTCATTCTGTAGCCTAGTACTTCCAGGTTCAGCTGAACTGAAAAAGGAGAGGCTGCATACAGGTTGTCACTGAGGCCTGGATTGTCCTTGAAACATGGGTTGTCATGTTGTCTGAACCCAACCAAGATAGCAAACAGTGGTGAGAAAACCCTGGGTTGTCATGGGTTGTTCATGGGTAGCAAGATATGGCTTGATACTGCAGCTGGGTTCAGACACTAGCAGGGACATACCAGCGCCTTAGAGGATTCCCCAGCTCCAGTGAGCTGGACGGAAGGGAAAGAAACCCAGCAGAATATTGTCAGCCAACGAACATCAGTGTCTTTTAAGAAGCCTGGCGGCCAACAAGGACACTTGGAAGAGGCACTTGAGTACTTCTGGAACAGGAAGGGGACAGTATTTGCTGCCTGCCCTTCAACTTCTTTGAGTCAGTGGTCTACACAAGGAGCTGGGCCACACAGTAACCTTCGTGCATGGCAGCACTGGAATGAACACACAAGCAACGTGGGAGGTCCCGCACATGGGTTGTGTGCAAGCACAGAACATCCCTTCTTGCACAGAAAAAGCAGATCAGTGAGGCTTGGAAAGAGGTGGCGTGGCTCGTGGCACACAAACTGTGGGAAACTCCAATGGGAATGTGTCCTTGGTGTGCCTGAACACAAGGCCCATGCACAAGTTGTGGTCTTAAAGTGACTGAGGGAATCCCCCAAAAAGCAACTGGGCCCACTCACAGAGCCAGTTAAAAATCTTTGTTTATACACAACTAAAGGCACAGTCCTGTGGGGGTGGGCAGCAAAACGTCCCATGAGCATCTGGATGAGGAACGCTGGTAGTTGTAGGACTTTATCCTGCCTAAACCTGCACGGGTTTGCAACTTCAGTGACTGATGCATATTCCCCGAATGCCAAACCCAACCAAGACCACCCAATTCCCTCTGGCCATGATAGGGTTAAGACCCCCCCCCCCCTCCAAGCTTGTCATTTTAAGGCTGCTCTACCCAGGGCATTTATTATATGCTTGTGAACCCTCACTCACAGGAGGGGCATTGTATCCAATGTTTGCATCCTCACCTGTTGCCAGCCTGTTTTGCAGCTTTTAACAGGAAGGAAAATTAGCCATTAAATTTCAAATGCAGAACAGAAGAGGATGGAAGGTCCCGGCATTGTTGCAGTCCAGTTATACTGCAGTGCCGCCATGTGGTTAGAGAAAGAATACACAGAAGGGCTCAGAAAGACAAACTCTGGAAAAAGGATGCATCCTCTATCCTGCAAGAACGGCAGGTTCAGCACCTCAGGGAGAGAAGTCCTTACTCTTAAAACAGCATCATTCATCAAGGAGTAGCTATGTTTATTCTCTTTGAGTCCTTTAAAAAGGGAGGTGTGTGGGAGAGGAGGGAGAAATGTTCCCATTTTTTCTTTTTTCTTTTGCTAACGATAACAACAAAAAAATGCACCCACATTCTTAGACTGATAAAGAGGTCAAACAGCACTCTGGTTTTGGTTCAGTGGGAGTCAGCAGTACCCGGCTCTCACGGCTTAAGGATGTCCTTTTAATTGTGACTGGCACACAAAGTGTGCAACTGATCTGTGTGAATGCAAAGCTGCCAAGGAACTTAACATTTCAGTTCACCCCAGACTGGCGTCTGCACAGATGCAATCACTCCAAGAGGACTATATTAACCCTTAATTGCTGGATTCAATGGGTCTCTGGGGAAGGACAGATTAGCCTGCTTGGAGGGACTGGGAGGGGAGAGAAACCAAACCAAACCAAGCCAGACTTTGAATAAGCCAATTGTCAGAAATGACCCCCGATTTGCTTTCCCTCATTAGCCACATGCTGCAGACTATAAAAATAAAGAAGGAACTTTCTTAGACATTTGGCTGGGGATTACCTGCCATTGGGAGAAGTATGGAAATTGCAGAGTCACATATCAAGACTGGATAAAAAGTTAAAGAATTGGGGAACTGGGAGGTAGAGAGGGGAGAGAAGAGACCAGATCTGGCTGTAAGGAAAGGTTAGGCTGCAATTTCTAATTTGCTTCTTTGATAAGAGACAGGTGGGTGCAGCCAGCTGGGAAGCTCCTGTGGAAGCTCCAGGAAGCAAGACAGAGGCTTTGCAGTGGATGACACAGTCTAAATTCCACTAAAGCCAACAGTGAAACCCCACTGGCCCAAATGACCGAGTAGCAGCATTACAGCCCTGTTAGATGGTAGATCGGAATGGCAGAACCGAAGTTCCCACATATTTAAAAGCAATTCTTGCATGGAAAAATGAGTGCGACCAAAAGAGCCTTCTTGATGTCCTAGTTGGGGTTTCTTTTATACATGCAGGGTATGTGCTGCTGCGTTTGACCATAGCAACTCACTCCCCGTTGCAGCTTGAACGGATAATACTCAGCCAGGGCTGTACCATGCCACTCTTCAGAACGTGGTAGATAAACTCTGCTAAGGTTTAAATAGTGGGTTCCTGAACACCGTAACTTCTGGAACGCAAACAGGCCTCCGTGCACACGGGGAAGCAGCTGGATAATTTTCTGGCTGTGGAGTCATGAATTCCACAATTTGACCTTGTGGCCGCTTGCTTTCTTTGGCTGCCTTTTCTTATGAAGGGCTTAGAGGAGCAACCACCTTCCATGCGATGCCGGTAGGCTCTGCTCCACCCTGCGCAGTTGTGAACCCCACCAGGGGCCTGGCACAACGCACACGGGTCAAGATCAGCTCAGCCAAAGGGCACTTCCTCTGCAATCTACAGGAGCTGAGGAGCATCACAAACATTTCTTTAAAGAGGTAGCTAGCAGCTTTGCCATTTTCTTTCATTTTACTCTTGAGTAGGCATAGAGGCTTGGATCGGGATCCTAATAGGGCTGGGGGAAGAGGGGATTTAATACTTCTCCACACCCTCCTCTCCAGGCCTACGTGATCCACACCGGCAATTTCTGTTCTCTATACGTTTTGCAAAAGAGCGATCATGGTTATGCTTCGTAATAAAAATTGCAGGCCTGAAAATATGGGGGTGGGGAGGCAGAGGGGTGCATAGTTAGGAAGAAATGGCCCAGTCATCACCCCCATACCACCTCAGGAGCCAAAATGAAAACTTTAAGACCATTGCTGCTAGTGATGCCTTTAAAGCAGGGGTCTCAAACTCGCAGGCCAATTGCCGGGCCAGGCGGGGCATGGGGAGGGGCCCTGTGGTCTTCAAAGTGCCGGCGGCACCCGGGCCAGCCGCCACCACCACCACCACGGTGGTGGAATACTTGATGCAGCCCAGCCTCACCCAGACTCTACTTCCAGCGGCCCCCAGGTAAGTTGAGTTTGAGACCCCTGCTTTAAAGTAACGTTTGCTTGCCTCCAAAGTCACAACGCATTCATCCCACTGACTGCACTGGGGCCAGTGCCCCATTCTCTCTTATTTCACATTCGAAGCAAAGTCAGAGAGACTCAACAGGACATCAGTCTGATTCTTCAGTGCAATCTTCACAAGGTGAGGAGCCCATGAAGTAGCTGTTTGCTGTAGCAATTAGAGAAGGCAATGCTTGGAGTTCCATGAGCTTGACCAAGCTTGTAACTTTACGGAAGGGGTGGTCAACTTCAGGCCAGGATTCCAAACTACCCTGCTACAGGCCCCTAGATGGTCTCAAGCCCCATTCTTCAGACTATGGATCATCCTGCATCTTCCTGGCTTTTGTGTGCTTTATGTTTCCCCTTTCTAAAAGGCTGAAATGGTTCTCCATGGAAGGCACAATGCTATGCAAGAAAATCCTATGCAGAAAAACGACTGAGAAATCCCAGCATGCCCCAGCTGGCATAGCCACAAAAGAAGGCCATCAGACTGAGAGAGGGCCTGCACCCCTGCTTTGTACTCTAAGCCAGCCTGTCCCCCACTCAACACCTCCGTAAGTGCTTCACTTCAACTCCCATCAGCTCTAGCCAGCATGGGCTATCTATCATCAGGAGGCTGGGAATTGTACTTCAAAGCTTCTGGAAGAGTCCTGTTTAGGGAAGGCAGATCTAAGATGTAAGAATTAAATATGGACAGCCTTTGTGTGGGTTGAGATACCACCAAATATTTGTGTGACCTGGAAGGAGAAACTTGGGTACCATCCAAAAACTGGTGCTGTTTCTCTAACTATACATCCCCTCCAGTTGCCCAGTGTGGCCACTAACTTTAAAACAACATTGCGTAACACCTAAATTACCTCGAGCTGTGTTAAAAACTGCCTAGTTTCTCTCTGTTTCTGTTTTATGCCTACCAAGGAACCTGCTTGTTCTGCCCAAGGATGGAAACACATCTAGGGAACAGACCTGTGGGGATCCACCACTGCTTGTTTCCTCATCCTGAGAATCCTGCGTGGAATCCTAGATGGAGCCCGATGCTCTCTCAGCACCTTATTCAGCATGCTCATGTGCCAGCATGCTCATGCGCAGAATGCCTGCTCCCTTTGCTCATGCGCCTTCTTTTCGCTGTGGCCACACGCATGCCCTGCAGCTTCAGTGCTGGCCAGCTTCTCCTCCTTCCTTGGTCCAGCCTGATGAAGAGTTCCAGGAGCCCCCTGCACACAGTTCCATGACATTTTGGTTAGCCCAGTCTAAAGTGGGCTTGGGGACCCATGCCCAACGAAATTCCCAGCACTTGGTGGCTGCAGACCTCTGTGTGACATCCGCCCCCCCCCCCCCACAAATCTCCTGAGGTCATTGGCTTCACTATTTGGAATAAGAGGTGCCTACACCAGCAGAGAGACTGGCCCTTGGCATTCTTCCTCCCACTGCTTAGGCACAATTAAAAACATGGCGGGGTGAGCAAGAGAGAGGTGAGCAAGGAGAGAGCAAGAGGGGCAGAGAGAGAACACCAAGGCACTTCACATGTGCTTGCACAGTCCCACGATTTCCAAAGACCAGAGGGTGCCATTTTTTGACAGAGGTCCAACAAGTTCTGATTTCTGTTTTCACAGCTTGTCGAAGCCACTGCAGGCTCTCGTCTTTCTTGCACTGCAGAGGCTCTGCTCTGTTCTGTCACTACTTCAGCTGGTTTCTTAAGGCCTTCTCTGACCCAACCGGCAACTTCTGCAGAAACGGAAAGACAGGGCAGAGTTTCCTTTCTGCGGCACGTGAGCCGTGATGGCACCCCCACTACAGGCGGGTTCACAGGCACTCCATGCTTCTCGCAGGTGGGGCAGGCAGAGAAGAGGGGGCAGTGCCATGCTTGCTTGCCTCGGGCTTTTGTTCACACGACAGTCTCATTCCCTTTTGGAGGCGTCACCCAACTGTCAGCCCTTTTCTCCCCCTGCTTCACCCTCCCTGAGTTCACCAGCCTGTTGGAGCACCTCTGCCAGGTGTGCAGTGTTTTGGCAGACCAGATCCACATGCCCGAGGTGATGCCCACCAGCAAGGACATGAAGATCTTAAGCATTTCCACAGCCATGTTGGAGTCATCCGCCGAGTAGCGAAAGATTGTCCAGTTGGAGATTTCATAGAAGTAGCAAGCGATGACGCAGGTGGCTGGGACCGTGTACAGCACGGAAAAGACACCGATTTTCACCATCAGCCTTTCCAGCTTGTCTGTTTTGGTCCCGTCCTTTTGAAGGTTGGACCGGATTTTAAATAAAGCCACCAAGCCGGCAGCGATGAACAGGGTCCCGATCACCAAGTAGGTGAAGAGGGGAGCCACCACGAAGCCCGTCAGAGCATCCAGGTTCTGGCTGCCCACGTAACACAGCCCGGTCAGCTCATCTGCATCCACCAGCCGCATAATCAGGATGACGATGGTCTTGACAGCAGGGATGGCCCAGGCCGCGATGTGGAAGTAGGAGCTGTGCATCTCAATGGCCTCGTGACCCCATTTGAGTCCGGCTGCCAGAAACCACGTCAGTGTCAAGATCACCCACCAGATGGAGCTCGCCATCCCAAAAAAGTACAGCAGCAAGAAAATAATAGCACATCCTGTGTTCTTGAGGCCCTCTTGAATGAGGACAGGTTCTGCCGCCTCTTCAAAATCGCAGGAAATCCTTTCCCGGCCTACGGTCAGCCGGACAATATAAGCAATGCTATAAATATTGTAACACATGCTCAGAAAGATAATGGGGCGCTCTGGGTAGGAAAAGCGGGAGGAATCGATCAGAAAGGTCAGAACCGTGAAGGCGGTGGAGACGAAGCAAAGGCTTGCCCACACCGCCATCCAGACATCCGCGAACGCCTTCGCCGGCCGGCTATAGAGGCCAGCGTCGTAGCCGCACTTCAGAACGCAGTTCAGGCTCCGCTTGACCCAGATATACTGGTCCGCGTTGGCACCGACGGTGTGGCACTCCTCTCCAGGGTGCAAGGAGGTTTTGCTGTGAAGGGGGACCTCTTCGTCCCCTGGACCCTCCATGCACATGTGATTGTGGTCATTCTGTGGGGGAAACTTGCTGCAGTTCAAGCTCTCTGGCCAGGAGAAGCCAAACTCCTTGAGGACCGGCTCACACCTCTTCTTGACAGACAGGCACATTCCGCCGCAGGGGCCAATGGGGATGTTAATCTTTTCCGTGCACATGGGGACCGAGACTGAGCAGAGGAAAAACTGGAAGAGAAAGAAGACAAACAGCTTAAGGTTGCTCTCCTTCCACAAAGGGTTTGACTCTCCCCAGCCTGGTGTTCTCCCATGGCTATGCTAGCTACAGATGATGGGAGTTGTAGTCCAAGAGATCTGGAGGACACTGGGCTGGGGAAGAGCTGCTTTCATCTTTTACAAAGAAGAACTCACGAGGAATGGATTTGGGAATGTAGGATCTCATTTACTTAAATAAATCGAACCCCAAAAGATCCAGGGACACTTGCAAAGTTCACCATATATAAAGCAAAGATTGGTTCAGGAGAATAAAAAATCCAAAATTCGAAGCTGGGCAAAGCTTTTGTGAGGATGAAGTGAAATGTCACCAAAGAGGTACAAGTTTTGATTGGGTCAGTGCTCTTTGTCAGGATGAAGCGCTCTGGAGAACTCAAAAGCTTGCACAAGTTTTTGTGAATTCTGGTTGGTCTGAAGGGAAGCTCCTTCTCTGCATAAGCTTGCTCACAGCTAACCTGGCCATGCTAATACTTAAGTAATTTCCAACTCTAATTTATAAGCCAAATCAGAACATTATTCTTGAAGGCCAAATCAAAGGGCATTTTTAAAAGTATAAACTCAAAATAGAAAATCCAGTGCCGGAAGAGATATTGAGCAGAAAGGTCAACATAACCCACTGCCTTCACCCCATCCGTATTACAGGAAAAACCATTCTTACCCTTAAATCCTTTCAAGATTCGGTTCTCATGACCCATCAAGGGTCACTCTACATATGCAATGAATCAAGTAGCCAAGTTTTTCCAATACTTTTCTATTTGCTGCAGGTGTGAGAATAACATCGAGTTCACCTCTGTGTGTGTCAACCTTCATTTATGAAATTATTACAACAAATTTAGACTGACTTTCTCCCCAATATGCCGTCTTCCTCTAGGCAGGGAGCTATTTTTCCTCTGTGCACAAATGCAAACTCTCAAAATGCAATATGAAACTTTAGGATCTGTGAACATGTCATTGCCTGGCTCTGAAGGGTGGGGAACCTCTGAACCTATTGCAGGCATTATTTATTATTTATTTATTTAAAGTTTTTATATGCTGTCCCCATTGCTACACAGCCTCGGGACAGTATGAGCTACTTGGTCCTGGAGACGAGCTCAATCCGGATCACTTCGTCAATAGTTTTATGCTGGCACCAGAAGAAAACAGGATTGATTGATTGTTTGTAACGCTTAGTGCCAGCCAAGACTGAAGCATCATACATGTGTCATGTTGGATGCATAGCACAATCTGATGTGTTTTCACTCAGTCTGAAAAGTTTCACGCCATTGAAAAAGAAACTGGTTTTGGTACTGTTAGAAATAAACCAGCAAAGTGCTTATTATTCCCATGTTACAGATAGGAACCGAAGCCAAGCGGCTGTGATTTGCCCAAGCCCGCCCAATGAGTCACAGGGCAGAGGTCACATTTGAACCCAGGTGTCTCACATTTAAACTGAGTTCTTTGTTCCAGGATCACAAAGAAGTTACCATCTAGTCTTTTCTCCAAACCACCCAAGCAAAATCAGTGCTCCAGTTACTAGACTTTACAAAAACAAACAAGCAAGCAGAACACGGGGTAAAAATAGCCATTCGCTCTGGTTGCCAGTGGCGAGTAAGGCAGCTTTCTGGGCCAGGAAACTAAACTTTAATGGGGGTGTGGGGACAAATTGATTGTGCAAGCTAGTAAAAATATTTGTGGGCCAGCTTTTGCCTGAAAGTATTTGCAAGCCTACTTTATGCTTGCATTTATTAATTTAAAGAGAGAGTTTCTTTGCCACTGTCCCAGCTCTGCAGTTGCCCATTTCTTTGGTACATTCCATTATCATGCTTTCAGAAGCCAACACAAAGATTCTCTCTTCACTGGTGTGAAAATAACTGGCATACTTAAGACATAGCTGTTGCTGGTTTTGTTTATTAACTCCGATCCAGAGCGTACTCTCTGGTGTGAGCTGCTGTCCAAATTCCAGAGCTTCCAGAGAGAACATACACTCGAACAGGGATAACTTGCCAATCTGCAGAAGAGGTTTTGGGTTCATTGCTCCAAGCCAACTGCTTTTGACTTCATGTGTAAATTAACCTCACGCAGGAGGGAGGGAAGAGGCCAGAAAGAATACAGGAGAGTGGAGCGGAAAGATCCTTTGCTATTGCCTTTCAGTAGAGCCAGGAATGCAGACCCTCCTGGATTTAGATATGATTATGACTCGGTTTCTTATCTGTAGATTCACACCTGATGGAAAAGCTCTGGGGACCATACCTTACTGCTTCTCTGCATGGTCCTTCAGGCTTCTCCCAAGATTAAGAGAAAACTGGTGTGATTTTATTTTTATGATTAGGCTGGACTCTGTTGAGTCTTCATGCTGCAAGGGGGAGTCCTCATGGCCTGTCCGGAGTGCCACAGGATAGGACTGAGTCCCAACTCCAACCGCAGAAATGCCTGCTGAGCCCAGAGCCAGTGCTCCAACATTGGAAGAAATCCCTTCTACCCCCACAGCTGCTGCGGCTTGTTCCACACCAGCTGAGCACCCTCAGAACTGATGCAGGGGGGACAGGGCATTCTGGGAGGGAAGGACTAAGGCACCCCCATCTTCCAAGGAAACCTGGCAATGTTCAGCCTCTCCTCCTGGCAAGGAGGGAGAAAAGATGTAGCCATCCTGTTACGACGGGATGAAAACTCTACTCTGGCATAAAGCTCATCAACCTTGGGCCGCTCTCTCGCTCTCAGCCTAGCCTAACCCACAGGGTTGTTGTAAGGATAAAATGGTTTTTAGTTTATCAAATTTAAAGATGGTTCTGCATCCATAAAGGTTCCTACAGTAACAAAAAGGGAGGCAAGAAATTAAGGACAGCTCCACACTACAAAGGGATAAGACAACTTAAAATAATATTATACTGGTACAACCTTGGCTGGACTTTTATTCACATTTTCAAGTATGAAAGTCCTTGGAGGAAAGTCAGGGTATAAATATAATTCATCTCTGTTTAAACACACACCAGGGCAGGTGCCACTGTGCCAAGGAGCTGCGCCAAAGAGTACAAAGTTTTACTTCTGAGTGGGAAGCTGATTCTGTTCTGCAGTTGTACCGGATAGATTTGGGGCATTGATTTGGGGATACCATTGAGCCTACAATCTGCCACTGGAACCAAATGGGATCAGTTCCCACCTCCCCTGCAGTGTTGGCCAGTTGGGCAATGCGTTCATGAAGACCAGCCAAGATGCCCCAAAACTGTGCCGAGCTTTGATCCTCTCCAGAGACCTTAACCAGGCCAGGAAGAACACAAAGCAGGTCCCGAGGTCCAAAATTTGGCCTTCATGCCCGGCCAGATGTTTGCACTTTCTTTCCTCCCCCAGTCCCTTGCTTTTTGAGCCGTAGAGTCTGATGCAGAGTTCTGGAGAAAGCAAAAGCTTGCATAGTCCTGTGGAATGTGAGGTATTGCCCAACAGTGGATTTGGGATTTTCTTCTCATGGACCAGCCTGGCTACTTTTTGTTTTGTTCTTTACCTGCTTTGGAGAAGGCTCTTCACTGAATCAGCACACCTGATCCCCCCAAAGCCATCTGTCTGGAAACACCCACGAGTGGATTAGACTTGCCGCCCCTGCCATGAACACGTTGTGAACGGCTGCCGTAGAGGAGCTGTGACTTCCTCGGCCCCACATGGTGGCTTGCAAGGTGCCCCGGGATCACTGGGGCTGGCTGACCCATTGTGCTTCAGCAAAGAGTCCGGTGCAAAAAGCAAATAGCAAGAGAGCAGAAACTCTAGGCATGTGCAGAAACCACTGTCTCAACCTGGGGATCGTTGCCTAGACAGCAAAGGGAAGCACTAGATTTCTGGGTAACTTTAAAGCACGGTACACCCTCAATTTATGAGAAGCGATTCAAGGCCCACACCTCGCCTGCAACAAGAATCCTGGGCATTTCGCGCTGACTGGGGCTGCACGGTGGTAAGAGAAAAGCCCTTTGCACATGCCCCAAGACCATCTTCGTTAGTACAGCGTTAAGGCTGCCTTCTTAAAAGCGTGTTTACCAGCGAGTAAGCCTCGCGCGCTTAAGCGTGCCCCGTTCGTTCAGGGCTCCCGCTCCGCGGCTGGCGAGAACTCCGCCTTGGAGAAACCAAAGCCCAAAAGCCGCTAAGCCCGCATGACGAATATATTTTCGGCCGCCTGTCGCTCCGGCGCGCGCTTGCCCCGTCGCCGCATTCCTCCGAGTTGCACGGGCTCGGTCCGAGGCCGGCGCGGTGCGCAGAAGTGGACGGGTCGCGCTGGCGCAGCGGCATCCCCGGGACCGCACCCGCGGCGCGCGCCAGGGGAACGCCGCCCAGTGTGGGCACGGGCGTGCGAGGGTTCTGCGGGAAGTGGCCCGGGAGCCGCCGGGGGGGGGGGG